AGCTATTTGGCATCCATTTGAGTGAGCCTTCGCTCGAGTTGGGCGATCACCTCGTCCCTGGGGTCCTTGGCAGCCATGGTGGCGCGTTGCGTCTGCAAGCGGGCTGCGTGAGCCGTGTTGATTTGGTGGTGTGCATCACCCTCATGCAGTTTTCCCTTGCCTTTATCCAGGCAGGGCCGATCCGTTGTCCGGGATACGGACCACAAGCTCTCCCTAGGTGAGCCAGGCTCACGCTCACCAATTCGTCCCGCCATCCTCTCCGAAGCAGGGCGACGGCACGTGCCACCTAGCCTATTAAAGGCTGAGGCTTTTCCACGTGCTGGGGTCGGTCCAGCTCGAAGCGGGGAAGCAGGGTGGGAGTGGGACGACGTCGTGTCCTGGGGCATCACCCCTTCGTCGTTGCCTAGCTTGATGGCCAACGGCTGGGGTTGAGGAGGCAGCGTCGTGTTCTGCCCCATCCTTGGCATGAGTGCACTAAGGACGACGGGGTTCTGGGCCAAGCTGGCGATGATGGCCGAGAGCGCGGCTTGGAGCTGAGGGTCAACGGCAGGAGAAGCTGGTTGCCCCAAGGCATTGTCGCCCTTGTCCAGGCGCTTCTTCTCCAGGGCGATGCGGGCATCATGGGCGCCGCCGTTGAGCTGGTGGCGAAGGTCATTGGTGAGGTCGATGGCCTCCTGGAAAACATCCTCGCCGGCGGCCTTGTCGGACGTATCGTCCTCCTCGTGTTCCCTGTTCTCTTGGGCCTCAGGGATGGCCTTGCCGAGATTACGGTTAGACTTAGTTCTTCCCATGATCAGTTAGCTGTGCTTGGTAGCGACGAAGGAGGCTAACTTGATTGTTCTAGCTCACAATTGAAACACCAAATGATGGAGTATTAACTCCTAGAGAGAAGTGAGAGCTAGAGAGAGAAGTGCAATAACTCTTTGCAATAAATGATTTGTGAACCCCCTACAACTACTCCCAAAGGGAGTATTTATTGAGGAAATTAGGGATGAGCTCCCAAGTCTTGGGCTTGGGAGGTCCATTTACAATTAGGCCACTATTCGACTGAGTACAAAATATGTAGAAATAATTAAGTGTGAAGTCCGGTTCTGGGAGCCCTTTGTGGCCGATAGAGCCATGGCTGACGGAGCCATGGCCGACGGGGACATCCGGTTCTTCTGGCTTCTGGACCATGTTCTGAGTTGATATCTTTCTGGTCGGTGGAGGGCCATCTGGCCGACGAAGGCCCCACTGGGTGGTAGTTGTACCTCTCATTCTTCTGAGTATGTGGATCCTAGGGTCCAGGCCCATATACTCCATCAATATTGTTTCATTTCTTTTGTTCCCAATAAATACGTAGTACTTTTTTATAGCGTATTGTGTTAAGATTTACAGTTTTCTTGAGTCACATAAAATTTAGGTGACTTTCTGCCTTTTTATATCTGGAAATATTTTAATCTGCTATGCATACACATACTCCTTTCCTACCTTAATTTAATTCCATAGTTTGTGTGTTGTAATAATGCTTAGTCCACACACATTTTTGGGTGTTTTTTCTTTTTCTTTAGGGAGTTGTCTTGAATACCTCTTCTGATTTTCTTGCCGTTTTAGCTTTTTTGGAAGTATCTTGAAATGATGGCATAATAGATCTATTTATCCTAATCTATATATTGATAATTTAGTGAAGCTGCTTTCTATATTGGAAGTAAAGGTCAAATAAGTTGGGATTATGGAAGTGTAGTTCTTTTTTATCGTTACTTTGAGCTGGAATTATAGGTTTTCAAGATTGAATTACATTTTTGTACTTTTGATTTATACAAAATCTTTGATACATCCTTTGGTGAAGGTGTTTCAGATAGTAAGATTTTATCTTTGTTGTTAGGTTATTAAAATGATAGTTTTGGTCATGGTGATAAATGCAATGATGATAAAATGAAGGTGTAATGTTTTTATATATTTATATATTCTGTATCTACCTTCCTAGTTTTTTTTTCTGGAAATTTCATTTCCCTGAATATAAATTGTACTATGTTACTGTGTTTTTTATCTAAGAAATATCATTCTTGTTTACAGTGGCGGAACTAGGGGGTGAGCCGCCGGTGCCAGTGCCCCTGTTTGCTGAAAAGGTAAAAGTATTTTAAGGTGTAGGTTTGATGGTGCCTCTTTCGGTTGGATCTTCTTTTACCTTTGCTCCGTTGACTTACTGCAGGTATATATGCTATTCTGTTTGGCAACTCAAAGTAAAAGGATGCTATTTTTTATTTTTAATATCACTCATCCAAACAATCCTGTTTAGGTAAGTGTTTTTTTTAACAAACGACACCGCATCAACCAAGCTTAATACATTATCAACCCAAAATGTTGAAACTCTGAAATTTAATCTTTCAATTGAGGGTACTGAGCGAACGATTGAGCAGGAGCAATCGATTTGAAAACCTGAGGTTAATGAAGCAATAGTTGAAGGACTGACCGGCGAGGTTGATTGAGGCTTAGGGCATCTACCATTCAAGGAGGCTAGGACTAGTGAGGAAGAAATATTAGTGCAAGTGCAAGTACAACGCAACAGCAAGGGGTTCCGGTCTTCCAGATTCAGTCAATAGTTCTACGCTTCAGGCTATGAGCTTCAGGTAAAATTCTCACTATAGAAATTCCTTCTTTTTGATTATTTAATTGTTTACTTGTTCAGACCTTTAGGACTTTAGGTTGAGCCTCAACTTTTGAGGTCAACTTGTTTGAGTTATATATTGTTCTGATTTTGAAGTTTTAGTATTTTCAAAATCGTATACCGATTTAACAATCTTTATTTACTTGTTTATTAATATTACTATCTGCCTATCTACTTGTTTACTAGTATTAGCTTGTAATATCTATCAACTTGTATTACAGTGTATTTATGAGTTTATAATTTTGTAATTTGTTAGGTTACATATATCTTTAAAACTCACTTTCCTTCCGTCCGAAGTATTTGAAGTTTTATATGATGTTTTGTAGATGTGGCTGCTACTTTGTGTGAAACTGGCAAGAAAAAGGATCATGTGAAGGAACTGGAAGTACTTCAAAAAACTGTGAGTACACGGTTTTAATGTCTTGTTTTTCTTGGTAATTACCTCTTGCTATTTTGTTTAGCACATAAATGAATCATTTAGGAGGAAACACATAAACTAGTTCAATCAGATCTACATTACCACATGTTGATGTAATCAAGAAGTATTTTGGATGATAACAACATTGTCATGTTGGTTTTGCAGCTAGAATGAGTTACAAATATTTAAAGAGATCATCTTATGAAGAGAGAGTTTGATGATGAAGATGAAAATCAATGCTTGAAAAGTCATTTAAATGCATTAGAAGATAATGTCCAAAAGATCAATTCAAGAGATGCTTCGAAGTCAAGGATACAAAAATCAAGCCTAAGAATCTAGATTCTCGACATATGTTTCAACTTGAATTACCGGCCTACACTTCTTTAGATATATTTTGCAGCTTAGCAATTTGTATGATGCAAAACAGTCGGATTAAATAATTTAATTTGTTTTGAATCGAAAGTGAATGATTATAGTTACATAATTCTATGTTTGGATATTCAATTTCGCAGAAGTCATTAGTATATTATAGGAAAAGAAAATTGTTGCATATATATTATGTTATTTTATGTTCCATCATTTGCAATGGAGCCAAAGATTCATTATTTTTTGGCTTGAGATTACGATGGAATAAAGCAAAATGACTCACTAAACTGTCTGCGCTTCTTTGTTATGAAGCAGCAGTCAGTTCATGCAATTTTGGACTCGATTTTCACTATGGGTCATTCGGAAACAGTCTCTTTATGCTTTAGTACAGGGGTAAGACTGCGTACATCTGACCCCCCTTACCCCACCGTAGGTGGGAGCCTCTGTGGCACTGGAGTAAATGAAAATGGAAAATATATTATGTTATTTTAGTGAAGGGATAACAATCGAAACTAATCATAAGATGTAGTCCTTAATTATATCATTAGCGACCACATTATATGTGGTCTCTAATTCTTTTAGCGACCGACCACATTTTGTGGTCGCAAATAGTCATTAGCGACTGTTTATTGTGTTTTTGTGATCATATTTCTCTTCACTAATAGCCCTTTTTCTTGTAGTGTAACAAAATAGTTACCACTTGTTTTTTCAAGCAACACATTACATAGGCTTGTCTCTTCATTTGCTACTATGATCCGAGAACAATCTATTTCAGTAAAATTACGGTGGAGAACATGTTTGGTGTGATTTGGATCACAATTTTCTGTTGAAAATAAACAACACAAACAACATATTAAAATTTATGAATTACTAATGAACATTTTTTAGAATTTATAATTTCATTACATTTTATGTGTTTTTGAAAAAATTATCAATTAATATTATCCTTTTTTTAAAAAAAAATATTACATTATTAGATTAGTAAAATTATTCACTTTAATAATTTTATAATTGTACTGTATAAGTAATTAATAAAATGCCCTTTTTAATAATTGTTCTCTTACATATTAAGTAATAATGTTAACAAATAATATCACATAGTTATTATTTATTTATTTATGTCCCATGCATCGCACCGGTGAGAATCTAATTTATCTTAACAACATTAACATTAAGAACTCTTTTCCCTATTCTTTCTGCTAATAAATAACCTCCATACTCATAAAAATTAAAAAACTTATTACAGCAATAATAGTATTCCTAAATTGTAATTGCAGATATAATAAAAAATTACACCACATAAGGAATAGAATATGTAATAATAGTATTAATGTATTACTATAATAATAATTTAATTACTGAGCAAGTACAATAATTACACTTATATTAATAATTTAAGAATTATTAACAATAATAAACAATCATATTTTACAATTTTATTAATGATGTATATATTTTTAATAATAATAATAATAATATGTGAGTGGATTTGTGTTAAACCCATTACTTGTCCAAAATTATTCGGCCCATTACAGATATTACCCAGCCCAATTCCAGACATTAACCATCAGCCAATTCATTTTTTCAGCAGCCTTCTTCTCAGAATCACAGACCATCGGTTGTAAACACCGCCACGAATCCTCTGCATATGTTTCAACCCTTTCTTCCGTTTCCACGCGTACACTAACCAACAGAGACGCCACCGTAGCACGCCAGCACTCCGGGCAGTCCAGCATCGGCTGCATCGCACCTCTCCCAGTCCGCGGGCTCAGCAGTTGTACCACTCCGCCCACTCGCACGCCAAGTCTCCGCTACAACCTGCAGGTAAGTTAATCTATTTGTTCATTTTAATTGATTTTCTTATATCTAGATTATTTAATATTTATGCCATATGCCTTCAGCCTTCTATTCTCCTACGTCCAGTAGTCCGTATGATTTTTAACAAATTTATTGTTTTTTTTTTAATTTTATTTTGTGTAATTGTTTGATGAATTAATTAAACTATTTTATTAATGAATACATTCTTTTTGCTATTATGTTCAACATTAACTCGAATTTTAACATAAATTTATGGTAATTTCTCACTATTATCATTATTATTTATCTTCTATTTCCCTTTGAGTCGGAAAAAAGGCCCATTTTTTATGGTCGCACCTGGTCCATATATTTTCAGGACCGGCCCTCGGCAAGGAATCAGTAGCAAGCTCTTTCGTTTCCAAGATGAACCTCCGCAATTTCAAAACCAGTGTTTATTATCCCTCGTAAGCTGCAATATTGGCGCGATCATCATTCGTTTATTCCGTTTGCAGTTTTTTTGTGTGTGATTTCATGTGTTTCGGATTACCCACTGCAATTGTTTGCTTGTCGATCAATTCAATAATATCTCCCTTATTGCTTTGAAACTGGTTATAATTGTTGTTGTAATGAAGGTTTTTTCTTACCATTACAAAAAGCATAATTCACAAGGAACATATATGCATTAGGTAGTTGCTGTTGATTAATGATTATAGAGAATGTTTATTTGAACTTGTTCATTATAGATGTGGTTCTTTCATTTTTGTATAGCCATAAAGGGGGAGGGGAGCACAATCCCTTTCACCAGCCTATGTGATGCAACTATACTATTCCATGTCATTGGTCATTCAGTTGCTTCTATTGAGCTAATTCTTACAACTCCTTGTCCTTTTCCTTTCCAGCGTTTCCCCACAGATTAGACTGACTCCTACCTTCAATATCCCACGTATACAACACCAAAAGCCTTGTACCTCTCTTGAGGTTCCTCTAAGCATTTGTTCCAAGCCAACTGCTAACAAAAGTCACACACTTGGAGGATCGTCTCTACATTTCCCATTGCAAAAGAGAGCTCAATTAGGCAAGACATTTTGCTCTGTTGGGATCTGTACATATCCTGAAAGTGTAAATGAATTTCAATCACATACACATGAAGAGAAGACAGGAGTGCTTCTTTTGAACCTTGGAGGGCCAGATACACTTCATGATGTTCAACCATTCCTTTTCAATCTGTTTGCTGATCCTGTATGCTACTGGTCTCTTTTTTGTCCATGTCATTTAGGGTATGTTTGTATCCCAGAAAATGCTAGGGGAAGTTTTTTTTATTGGTTCTCATGTGGAAATGAAATGTGATTACTGAGTTTTTTTTACATATGTTTCAGACTTCCAAGTCTGTATAAATAAAAGGAGCTTAATAAAATATAAACAAATATGAGTATGAACAAATATTTCTTTTCCCTCACATTTTCTCTCCCTCCTAATCTATTCAATAGCCCCCCTCCCTATTTTATGCCCCTAGCATTTTCATAGTTTCAAATGGGCCCTTAGTTTGACTTTGAAATGTGGAAGGTGCATGGAGTTTTCTTATGCTCATGTGTGATAAAACTGCTTGTCTGTGCTAGGATATTATACGCCTCCCCAGGTTATTTCAATTCCTTCAGCGCCCATTAGCACAATTAATATCTGTTCTACGAGCTCCCAAAAGTAAGGAAGGCTATGCTGCAATTGGAGGCGGTTCACCTCTGCGAAGAATCACAGATGATCAGGTATACTTATTCTGCTACTCGTAGTTAGTACTTCCAGGCAAATGCTTTAAAAATCTATGCGGAAAACTGTCTATATCTGGGATACAAACTGTGCTTGTAGCATTTCAACTTCAACAACTTTATCCTTCCAGGCAAATGCTTTAAAAGTGGCACTGATAGAGAAGGAAGTCTCTGCTAATGTCTACGTTGCTATGAGATACTGGCACCCATTTACTGAGGAAGCTGTCCAACAGGCAGGTTTAAATAATGCTTCAGATAACTAATTAATAATCTATACTTTGGCAGCTAACGTTCTGTGAACATCACACTAGTGTACTTGATGACATGATGTATCTAAATTCTAAACTAGAGAAATAATGTCAATCCCTGGAAGTGAGCTACTATAATATAGTGCATTCTAAATCATTAGTACGGAGTACTATATAAAGAGCTATACTTCATATCACTTACTGCATGTTTTAATGAGATATTTTAAGTCACATTTGACTTAAAGGTGTTGTATTTTTTACCTATTATGTTATCTTCTCAACACATTCAAAAAATTCTTTTGCTGCTGCTTTCCTTCTCAGAAGTATAGTGGATGTATGCATGATTATATCTTGAGTTGAAACTATGGGCAGTGCTTAAGATCTTGTGCCCTTTTTCTTCGAGTACATGCTGGTGAGCTAAATATGAGTTGTTTGCTGGTTTGATAACCCCAGGGTACTTCATGGCCTTCAGGTGTCTGATTTAAGATTTTACATTTGAAAATAATACATGTGTTGGTTGTTTATAACCTAGTAGGATATCTGGTTTTCATTGTATTTATTTTTTTCACCGATGGTTACTTTTTATGGATGATCATAAAAGAAAGAAAGTACATTTAGGCGTTTATCCAGATTATTTGTAACTGTGAATTTTTCACTTCTGTAGTTATGTTATGGAATGGAACGTGTACTGAAGGCTATGGAATAAGTCTCCATGCCTTTTATTTTTAAAATCAACTTTATGCCTTTCTGGCAGATCAAACGAGATAGAATTACGAGGCTTGTTGTGTTACCTCTATATCCTCAATATTCCATCTCGACGACTGGATCAAGCATCCGTGTTCTTCAGAATATTTTTGGGTAAAGCCATCTTAGCTGATGTCTGATTTATAAACTATGCATTAATCTATATTTTGTTAAATTTTGTACATAAGATAAACCTTTGTACTTTCAGGAGAGATCCATATTTGAGTAGACTACCTGTGGCTATCATACAGTCATGGTATCAACGACAGGGTTACATCATGTCCATGGCTGACTTGATTGAGAAGGAGGTTAAAAAATTTCCACAGCCTGATGAGGTAAATCGTTTTTTACCCTTTGTTATCTCAAAGATATTTGTAGCTGCCAAAATGCCTTTTTTTTGTTTATTTTATCCTGATTTCCTCCATCCTATTTGGGGTCAGTTTGAAATCTGGAAAATGCTAGGGGAGAGAATAAAATCAATATAGAAAGGAAATCTAGAAGGAAAGAGAGTTTGAGGGAACAGAATGGTTCAAGTAAATTAAATTAAGATACTTGTTTGAAGTCATAAACTCAGGGATGACGATGAAATCTAAATATATGTTACATCTGAAAAAGTTAATCAAAACTCTATTATTCTTCCCACTTTCCAAGCAAAAATAGCATTCTCCTTATAATTTTTTCCTTTCATTCCCATATGCTGAATTCCAAACATAGCCTTAGTACAGCGGGTTTATTATTCCTTATGGATATATTTGTCTAGTCGTAATGCATGGTATGTTGATTCTTCTAGGCAATGATATTCTTCAGTGCACATGGGGTACCTGTCAGTTATGTTGAGGATGCTGGTGATCCATACAGGGATCAGATGGAAGAATGCATTTCACTGATAATGCAAGAACTGAAATCAAGAGGAGTTAACAATGAGCATACTTTGGCTTACCAGGTTCTCTTCATTCCATCTTTTTATATAATACCATTGAAAAATATTTTTAAATTACCTTCTGTAAGTGGCTGCTAGTTGTTTCTTCCCTGGGTTTAATAAAACTTTTTTACCTACTGGAACTGAATTTGGTTCTTTTTTACCCTGCATATCAGAGCCGAGTTGGACCCGTACAGTGGTTGAAACCTTACACTGATGAAGTTCTTGTTGAACTTGGAAAGAAAGGAGTGAAATCTCTGCTGGCTGTTCCAGTGAGGTATGAATATGCTATGCATTGAAGTTTTCCTGGTCTATACTTTATGTGCCAGAATCATCATACTGCTCTTGCTATTGGTCATTATTCAACTTGCAGAATTTGTATGGTTCATTATTTGCTATGTTGATTAAAAGATTTGCACTCAGATGGGGCAGGAACATATATGGATTGAAAATTTCCAAATTTTCAAAATACTTGGATTGCAATATCATCATTACCCTGCAAAGGCTCCCACCTTCAGTGGGGTAAGGAGAGGTCGGATGTACGCAATCTTACCCCTGTACTATTTACTAAAGTACAGAGAGACTATTTCCGGAAGATACTTGGATTGCAATAAAAGGGGGTAAATGAAATTAGCAAAATATAAATGAGAATACATTCTGAAGTTCAAAAATAGTTGGAAAACAAAATCCAAAATTAAGTGAGTACACTATCAGTAAATGGAAAACGTCAATCCTTGTCATCACTATATACTAATCAAAGACAGCTCTGCAAATTCTAAATATTTACAAATGAAGTAATAAGTTAATATTTTTACATGATTTTAACAGTTCAACAATAAAAAGATTTCCTCCATTTTCAATGAATTCAAAGACTCACTATTTTTTGGCTTGGGAATATGATGGAATAAAGAAAAATGGTTCACTAAATTTTTTGCGCTTCTATATTATGATGAAGCATCAGCCAGTCCATGCAATTATCGACGTGATTTTCATCATGAGTCCTTCGGAAACAATCTCTCTTTGCTTGCTTTAGTACAGAGGTAAGATGGTGTACATCCGAACCTCCTGTACCCCATCGTAAGATGGTTGACTACAAAAAGTTACTAAAAACCACATATGGGTTTATAACATGCTTGTTAACAATTTCACAAATTCATCTCAATAAAGCTTAGTTAGAGAAGTGCCTGATTGCCTATGTACTAAGGTGAAGTGGTAAAAAAGTAATGTGTTATTACTATTATAGTATTATTATGGATAGAATGAATGACGTGAAGTGGTAAATAAGTAATAATTGTGAAAACATGTGAGTTGCGGAACCAATGGAAGAATTGTGAAAAAATGGAAAGATGTGTGGAAGCCCTATGAAAGAAGAGTTTTGTTTTTTTAAAAGGGCAAGCAGTGGGTCAATCGACTGACCTGAGCATATCTGACCCAAACAGAACCTTAAAATTTCCATACCCACCCTTATGTAGTAGTCTGTTTTCATTTATTGTCCTCTTTTCCCCTAAAAATGCATCCTTTCTGTTGTTGGAAAACATAGGGAATTTCTATCATTCAATTGGGTCATACAACAGAGGGGGGTCTTAACACATTATCCTTGTGATTGCAGCTTTGTGAGTGAGCACATAGAGACACTTGAAGAGATTGATATGGAATACCGAGAGTTGGCTCTTGCATCCGGAATTGTGAATTGGGGCAGGGTCCCAGCCCTCAACTGCACCTCCACGTTCATAACTGACCTCGCAGATGCGGTGATCGAAGCTCTTCCGTCTGCCATTGCAGCAGTCTCAACATCACCCAACTCCTCCCCAACTGAAGAAGCTGACATGGATCCCTTGCGGTACATAACCAAGATGCTTTTGGGCTCCATTTTGACGTTTGTTTTGCTCTTTTCCCCAAAGATGCTCTCGGCATTCAAGAAACACCTTCTTTGAGTAGGATGAGGAGGAAGGATTATCAGGTGGTGCAAGGGTTTAATCCTTTCTTAAGACGTGGTATATCAACACATTATTGTATCCAGACAAAATTTAATACAGTGAAACACGTAAACGATACCCAAATGCAAAAGTTTTAAAACTTTCATACGGTATTGTATATAGTATACAAAAAATTGTGGTTCCCCAACCTAAATAATATCAAGTGCATTGAGAAAGGATGATTTTCATTAAATACCACTATATCTGTTCCATTGTAAAGTTCTCATAAGGCGGAATAGTATGTTAACTTTTATACTCCGTATTTAATTTTAATTGATTAGGATTCAGATAATTATGTTAACTTTTAATTTTAGAATTTAAACGTGACGCATGTTCAACTCAATTACCAATAGCCGACAGCGGACTAGCTAGTTGACAGTTAGTAGTCACATTGTTAAACACCCCTATGGATGGACCCGTGCCGGTTCGGGCCTGGGCCCAGCCGGGTTTTTTTTGGGAATGGGTGAACCGGAACCGGCCCGGGTAAGCGGTGGTTCCGGACCGGGCTGGTTCCGGTTCATTTTTTTTGCTTTCTTATTTATTTCACCCCCTATCTCTCAAATCCCTTGGAAATACCAAGCTCAGCCCAACTAAACCCAGCCCAAACAAAAAAAAAGGTCCAAACTAGGCCGGGTCCAGCCGGGCCGGTACACTAAACTGATGACCCGTACTCGACCCGCCCCAACCCCACGGGCCGGGCCTAGGCCCGGAATCGGTTCCCCAAGACCGTGTCGGTTCGGGCCCGCACAGTAGCGGGCCGGGCCGGTTCACGGGCCGAGCAGCCCGGGCCCGTTCCATACCTAGACTTAAACTTACGCCCTAAAACTAAAAATGCACTTTTGTGTAGTTGGTATTTAACTAGCACTCTCATCGTCCAGTACTAAAATTAAAGTTATTTCTTATCTATATATATTATTAAACCAACTAAGTATCCCGCCTAAACTTTTAGGGAATTTTCGTAACTCTAACTCTGCTTCTATTTACCTTCTGCCCACCTCTTCCTTGGAAATATCCGACCACCACGGCGTACATTCATTCACCTTCGTTGGACTTCCTGAACAAATTACGACATATAGCTCAAAAAATTTAAGGTATCTCACTCCGACCCATGCTTCTCCCTGGCCTTCCTCCTTCATCGGATGTCCCCCCCTTGAATAAGGATGTATCATGTCTCTAAATCATGGCCAATTTGTGAGTAAGTATTAAGGATCTTCTATTATATATTCGCATTGTGTTTTATTTATCCTTTGTATCTTAGTCAGATTTATTATGTTAATTAAGAGAAACAAAGAAGTCTGATGAATCATTTAAGTAAATGTTATTCACTTACTAAGTTACTAATATTTCTTTTCTTTTTTGCTTATTGTTTTGTTGGTGTTTTGATACGTTTTCATTTCATGCCGAAGAAAATAATGATGGAAATAAGGGAGGATGCAATTTTTTTCTTCTACAATGGAGTAAAAGATGATGAATCTTTAAGAGATTGAATTAAATGATGAGTTTAGTGAATCTTACGTGTAATTATTATGGAGCATTAATTTCTTAAATGTTTTGATTTACTTTTAGTAACTATACAGAGAATATAGGAATTTTATAAAGTTTGTTTTTATCATTTCTTTTGTGAAGTGGTTCGTTTGCATGGAGTTCCGAAATCAAACACTTCGGGTAGAGCATTCTAAATTTCCATGCCATTTTTGGATCACTTTGTGGAGCCGTAAGGATATGAATTTGAATTTCAGCAGTACAATGCACTCTCAAATTGATGGACAAACGGAGAACCTCAATCCAGTGGCGGATCTTGTACATAAATTTTGAAGGTTCGAATTTATTTTATAAATTTTGGGTGTTCAAATACATACATAAATTTTTACACTAGGACCCATATATATGTATTTTTACACTACTAGTTAAAAAATTTGGGTGTTCACATGAACACTTTTGAACATAGGGAGGTCCGCCCCCGCCTCAATCGCAGGTTGGGCAACCTGATTTATAGCATTTGTGGCGACAAACCGAAGCAATAGGATGTGGCACTGTCATAAGCAGAGTTTGCATATAATAATGCAGTCTATTCAGCTACTGGCCAATCCCCTTTCTATTTGATTTACAAGCAGTCCCTGGACATGCATGCATTGGATTTAGCAGGATTTCCCAAATATGGATGAAGTGTAGCAGCTAGGAATATGGCAACTCAAGTGTGTGATGTGCAGACAAGTTAAATCAAGACTTGAAGCCAAAAATGAGAAATACAAGAAAAAGATTTTAAAAATGGTGTAAGTAGTTGTTTAAAGAAAGAGACTGGGTGATGATATTTTTAAGGACAAATTTCTTATAAGGTCTTTCAACAAGCTGAAGCAGGGGAAATATGGTCCATACAAGATTTTGAAGAAGATTAATTATAATGTATATGTAATTGATTATCCGGAAGACATGAATATTTCAAAGACGTTCAATGTGGTGGATGTATACGAGTTTCTTGAGGATGTACCGTTATATCTGATTATAACTCAAGATCGGGTTTTCACAAGTGGAGGGGTTGAAGTAGTAGGACAAGCCACAACTGAAAATGAGCTGCATGAAAACGGGGATAACACTCACGTACCTCGATGTTGCGTATGAGGCCCGCAATATATCAAACTGAAGCTTTTGATGTGCTCTATCAAGTCATATTGCTTTTGTCTCATTATGGAGTCCCGTGCTATGGAAATGTTGATGCCAGAACTTACGGGACAAAATTGCAGTTTTCATGCATAAGATATTTTATTTATTTATTAGAGTTGGACTACAAGTAAATTATTTAAAGTTTTAGTTAAATGGCTCTGTATAAGGTTCCTAAACATTATGTTACAGCAGGTTTTGAAAAAAAAGCATTCTTATGATTAACTTCCAATTTCTAATGGAGTCCAATTATCTTTCTTAAAGAACATGATGGTGTTCTTTTTCTTATGGTCTATCTACCAAAGAACTCAATGATAACAATACGATATAAATAAAATATGTGGCCTGCTTTCATTTTTGCTTCTCCTGCAAAAGCTTTCTTAAGGCTTTACACATAAATGAAACAGATCTTTATTTGACACGGGTCATCTTCAAGCTCCTTTATCTTTTACAAAAATCTAATTGTCCATATTCATGATAGGCATTTACATATTTTGAAAAATTGAATTTAGTTCCAATTATTAGGGGTGGACATAAAGCTGAACCGAACCAATACCGTTTTGGCCCATAATGGTACCGAACCGAATAACGGCTATTTAAACGGTTCAAAGATTTTTATCAGGAACCGAAACCATATAGTTGGGAATGGGTACGAGATTTGTTCTAGATTTTGAAAATAAAAAATACCGAATCGGACCATTAAAAATAATGCATTCGAGATTTTTATTTTTTTTTCTATACCAATAAATCTCTTTTTTAGATCAACAATTTTGTAGCCCAAGTATGTATTCATGCATCCCTAAAATAGCTAAATGTGCGCGTACATATAATTAATGGTAGTTTTTGTTTTAGATAATTTATATTATATTTTGGTGTATTGAAAGAATGTTACAGTTTTAAAAATCATTAATGACTATTAATTTCCAATAATGTAGTGTATATGGGTATGTTTGGCACAACTAGCTGAAAAGATACTTTTTTGAGCTTTTTTGTAACTGTTAGCTTTTAGTAACTGAAAAGATCTTAAAAAGAAAAGTCGGTACCTGTTTGGTAGGAAGCTGACTGTTTGATTTAGCTCTGTTTGGTATACAAGCTGTTAAGACTAATTAAAACTAGAAACTACTGACTTATCTGAGATGGTTCTCACTATAGCATCTAAAGAAAGATCTTTTATTTTTTATAAAACCTCTTAAAAATTGTCACGCCAAACATACAACTAGAATCTTTTAAAGACTTTTTAAAGTAGTTTAAAGTAGTACAAAAGCTAGAAGGCAAGGACTTATGCCTACCAAACATAGTCTATGACTTTTAGTTTTATCATATTTGTGAAGTTTTACAACTTAATTAATACGGAGTATGGTTTAAATCTTAGCTCTCACAATTCAACTATAAATTAGATTCAACCTAGAACAAAGAATAAGATCGCTAAATTTTTATATTGTATTCAACAATTTGATGACATTCTTTTCATATTTTCACATTAATTTAATAAAGAAGATATTTATCTGGTGTATCATTATTTTGCTAAAGATGATACCTACTAACCGTACGGTTTTGTACCATTCCGAAACAACATGGCAACAAATGGTTCCATCCTTAGAACCATGTACCGTTAGAAATCTCACCGGTACATTACAGATTTTGCTAATTTACCGGACCGTTTCGGACCGCGCCTACCCCTACCAATTATGTATCACATTTTTAACATGTCTAATGCCTAACTAATTTTGAAATTTTGACGTTACATGCTAATTGTTTGTTATCTTTGTTGGTGTAGATACCTTTTACTCATACTTTTGTCTAAGATTATAGAACAACGGAGATGAGAAACTTTGTTGTCCAATTATTTTATCTTCTTCAGATATTTTGACATATTTTTTACTAATAGAAAATTAAATACATTGACGGTTAAAATTTTGCATTGACAAACATGAAAATGAGAGTGTTGCAATTAAAAACAAACGTAAGAAGTACTTTTTAGGAATTTTAGTTTAGTTTCTCTTACATGTACATTGATTTTTGCCTATTTATATTTTCTATTTAATGTATAAATTTAAATATTGGGGTTTTGGTAAAATAAACATTATTCTAGATTCAAGAATAGATACTTTTGTGGGAGTGTAGAAAATCTTGCTCTAAGAGAGTAAGAGGTCACTAAGTACAATTCTTCTTACTAAAGTAGCTATTAAAAGTGTTAAAATTTATGCAGTAAAAACGAAATGTATCTCATATTAATAAGTCATAAAACTCTCCAAAACGTGTTTAATGGTTGAATTGATAGTACTCTTCTTGCACGGAACAACTCCTAAGCTCAATTAGTGAAGTGTACATATAGAGTGAACTTATTTTTGATAATGTGAAGTCACTTTATAATTAGTCTATCATCCCGTGCAACACACGGGTTAAAGACTAGTTATTAATTATTTATTTATTTCGTATAAGGCTAAACATGTCATTTCAAAACTATTTCCATTCTCCGTAGTATCCTAAATTAACCACTTTCCTTACTTTTAGCATATCATGATTTTCTCTCCTTCCTTGTATCTCCTTAACCGTTTCCATTCCCCACGATTTTTGTTCTTCGACATTTTCTTTTTCTCCATCATGTTCCTTTTCTTTTTCACCATTACAAAAGCCAAAACACTTTCATTTCTTCACCATTCTTTCACCACGTCTTTTATTAGATTTCAGACAAGAAAAATCTTAGTCCAATATCATCTCTTCTCTATGGATTATAGTTAGACGACGAACGTGCTTATGTTTCTGAATTGAACTACTTCTGTCATTTATATATTTGTTTATTTCTAATT